ACAGATATTCGAAGAATTCTAGTATGTATTCAACCGGGTAGATCTTGAATCCCGCAAATCAGGGACACCGTGGAACGTGGAACACTTCGCCGAGTTGCTCCAATCACAATTTCAATCTTTCTCCAGAAGTCTTCTTCCTGTGGAGGACAGCTGTCCCGACCAGACGACTGACTAAGCCGAACCCCATTTCCCGACGAAGGCGCATAAAGAGTGTATTTTTGGAAGGGGATATCCGGGCGGTTCCAATTGAAATATGAAAAAGCTGCTCAAGTCTAAAGGCGAGCGTTCCTTTTCGGTCAAATCGCACACAAACGTACAAGTGCGGGCCGTGGCCATCTTCTGAACGCGACGAAAAAAACATCGGCCTCGCGGAAAGACGGCAGGCTCCTTACGAAATCTCACCGCTGTTGTCCCAAGCACTACAGCGGCAGTGGGTAGCGACAACAAAGAGACACAGAAAACATCACAGCATATCCACAGAGTGGAGGATGATGAGTGAGGCGAAACGTCCGTCCGTCCATCCGTCCGTCCGTCTGGCGACGAGCACGAGCTGTTGCGGCTCGTGAGATACTGCAGGTTACGCCTGACGCAGGACAATGTTAGACTAAGAGAAACTTCGACCCTAAAATAGAGAAAGCACCCGCAAGCAGCAGGCGTTCTAGGGAGTATACGACAGCGGACGCTATATGCGAGGTCTACGTTCAGTGGGCCGACCGCAGAATACGACGGAAGTGCGGAGAAAAGTGCGCCAAGGGAGACCAATGCGAACAGGAGACAAACTTCCCGTTATTATTCGACTGAAATGGCACCTCGAAAAAGGCCAACCACGTGTAAAATGATTCGTACGGTTAAGTACTTGACAGCTTGTTACAAGGTTAGCTAAATACAGCTAAACCTCGATATAATGAACTGCAATATGACAGTATCCTCGATATAACGAAACATTTCACTTTGTCAACACTGCATGCTTACAAAACGCCGCGTATTTCGATCCTCAGTATAACAAAGCGCGTTCATCATACATTTTAATACAACGATATTTCAGCGCTGCCGCAGGGGAAGACCGAGACGATGAACTTCTGCAGGCGCTGTAGTAATACGTTTAGTGGTTGCGGTTGTCGCCTAGTTTTCATGCTATTTCAGACAGCAATTTTCTTGGTTTTGCGGAGTGCGACGGCCAGCGACGCAAGCGCGTTCATCGAAGCGAGTGGAAAGCAAGTGGTTCGGTTCGGTAAACTTGACAGCATCGGCGTTGCACCACTCTGGGCAATACCCAATGTTTTGATGACAAGCCGCGACGGCCGGACAGACAAGATAGCGTCGCATATTGCATCGTACTAGTGCGCGTGTGCTTGCATGCGTGCGTGCGCGTGTGTGGGTGTGCTTAGTCTGATGCGGCCGTCATCCTTGACCTTTCAATATTATATATGCTTTAATATCGTATGCAATATGATCGGACGAGAACCGGCGCATTCAGCATGCATGGTATGGCCGATGAAACGTGCGATATGATCTCGCTGTCTAAGTTCTACGCATGATTCCTCTCTTTCGGCGCATTCGTGGCTTGTCATAAGAAGAACTTGCAACATACCTCGCACAGCAATAAAAAAAAAAAAACTTAATTAGTTGCAGTGCTGCCTCTGTGCTGTCACGTTGTATACGCCCCTGTCTACTAACTCTGGACTCCTGTATTTTTGTAAAGCACGGCTCTGAAAAGAACGCTTAACTTACATTTCGTACAATTTCCCAGCGGAGACCACAGTTACAGCCCATAATGGGGAGTACTGCTTATACACGAAGACGAAAGTTAGGTGTGCTTTCCGTCCCATTTATGTTCAAATCTGAGCCATCGCTGCAAAGCGAGAGAAGCATCCGGCGCAGATCATGCTGATCCGAAACGGCCAGTGAGTAACGCCATCAGGTGTAGAACGCATTGGTGCTGTAACTCGCACTATATATTCCGGCGTCACTGGACAAAAAGATACGCAAAAAACACAAAGGCAGTTGTACTAACTACCTCTCAAAATCGCGTCCTGGCGCTAAAATATACGGTAGCCATTTTGTAATCGACACCAAAGGCGTATCGTTGGTAAAGCAGCATACGAAGCAACGAATGCATTTTGCTATTTTGTCCGAAGTGCGATTAACCAGTTAAGCTGAATAGCAAGCTTCGTAATGCGAAAACTTCTGCAGCATGTTCGTTAGCATTATCTAAAGTTGTTTTTATCACTGCATTCTATAAAATAGTTTTCCCCTCACCTTCGGCCACGAGAAAAAACGAAAAATAGAAAGAAAGAAAGAAAGAAAGAAAGAAAGGACGAGTGAAAGAAAGAAAGAGAAAAGAATCAGCCAGAAAGAAGAAATACGAGATCAGAAAAAAAAAAAAAGAAACGTCACTGAAGGCAGTGAGCCCATGGTTCGAAGCGCTCTTACTGTCTTTCCCAAGAACGTTGGCTGCATGGGTCTTTGTAAAAAAAAACAAAAAAAACAAAAAAAAACACGACGAGCGTGTTTCGATCCGCTGTCACCGCCGGCGGCCTATTGTTGACCGCAGCGGATAACCGCCGTCACATCGATGGTGCTCACATGGTTCCGTGGAAAGCGGGGCATATCAACCCTTGCAAACGACAGGCGACCTTCGCTGTTTGCAAAAGCCATCGACAACGCCACAGCACGAGCAGCAAATTCACAAAGCTTCTCGTTCGTAAACGTTCTATATCCCAGGCTTCGCTAATGGGACGTCTAGCACGAGGGCTGGTTGGAATTTTCGCTAAACTGCAATGCTAGGAAAACAACGTTTTTTTGTTTTTTTTTTTGCGGACGTGCACTGGCGCAGACGCGCCGTTGACGTCTCCTTCTCCCTAATTCAATATTCTGGCAGCTGTCTTAAACCCCTAAAATAAACTGTACAATGAACAAATACCATTAGGCAAACAACTTTACCAAGTGTTTCGCGCGTATATATCCACAAAATCATCAAACTTATTTTTCGAACTACTTATTTATTAAAACTTATTTTTCGAAAATACTTAATATTCTGCACAACTGCATTTACCTAATCCCTGAATTAATGGCTCTTCAGAAAAGTTACCCAGGATGAGCCCGAACATTTATTTGTCTTAGTTTAAACATACCACCCTCCCACCCACCTCCCCTTTTTTGTGCTTATTTTTCTTCAATGCTTGGTTCATGTTAAACTCCTTCGATACACAGTATATATAGCCGACGAAGAGAGCTAGCGTAAAAACATATTGCAAAAGAGAAAACGCTAACATTAAATACTTGTGACATTTTGACAGTACATAAAAATTCATCATAGGCGGTGCATTCCTTAGACCAACAGCAACGCGTTTATACACAACAGCATTGGCAATATGCATGCTGGACTAACCAGACAACTACTGAACTAAACAAGAAAACACAAAACAGCAACGTCAATAAAACGAGAACTTTGACGAGTGCAGCGAACTGGCAATATATTACGCGCATGCACATATTGAAGATAACAAACAATAATACGTAAACGGGACCTCATTTCTTATATTTAACTCTAGCTTAACGATCATGACTTGAGCTGAAAGGAATTAAAGAGGACGAAAAAGCACAATTTCCATCAGTCAATTGGGAGTTCCAAGAGGAACGGGGGGGGGGGGGGGGGGGCAGACGCTTGCCTTCATTCGTCTGTTGGCTTCATTAGTTGCATGCGACAACGAAACGGTCTTCACGAACAATTCCTCTTCTTGAGCAAACATATAGTTACGGCAAGTACAACCGACATAACAGACGCTACGTGTTTCTTAAAATTTGAGGTGGAATTCGGAGTCGTCTGCGGGGTAAAATTTCCCGAAAGTCATAAGCTTATCGTCTTGTACAGGGATGAGCAGGAGGGGGGCGGTATACGGCTGCAGCTGAGCCAACTGCCGCACATGACCCCCAATCAACTAACCGACGAACGTGGCCTCAAATATACAGCACTACTACACACACACACAGTAAACATGCCTTTACTGCTCGCGCTCGTAGAATCACTTACTTCTTTAACGTTACCACGCCCAGCTCGACCCCACCTCGTTCTAGAAAACTCCTGACTTCACTATCTACATCACAGTGCCACCAAGTATAGGCGACAGAGAGCGAGAGCATGGTAAGCCGCCGTCGTTTTGTGACGCATCGCCAAACTGACAGCGTTCACGAAGAACGTCGCAAGTCAGGATACACAGACTTCTATTTTACATTATTTGGTCTGACCCAATTTCGACGATCAGAACTGATCTACCATTGCGGGGTTCTTGTACAAGTTCTGCAGCACGTCTTACCCTGCGTAGCGACGGAAGCGGGATGTTTAGACGGCAGCTCTGCGTGAGAGAGAATAACAGATCGTGCACAACTAGTTTGTACGCTATTTATACGGCACGAGCTGTTATTCCTAATTACTTCCCCAATTAACTTTCAAACTTCGAGTAAACTTAACGGTAAGCTGAAGGCGGTTAAATAAAAGAATTATTTCGAAAAATTGATCCTCGTTAAAAAGAAATAAAGTAATAGCCCTTAAGACATATTAGCGCTATACACTTGACGAGGGCAAGGCGAAGTACACGACAGGTTCTGTGGAGTACTTGCCTGTCTTGTCCTCGTCAAATGTAGCGCTAGAAATATACTAGGCAAGAATGTATCACCAATCAGCCTCGTGGCATGTTTTGTAACGCATAACGTCCTATAAGCAGAAGGCATGCACACATCATTTGGAGCATCAGACCCTATTATTTTACCCTCGCCACCACTTTAAGGGTAAACATGCATAATATCGAGGGTGGGTGTCAGCTTACGGCGCTGCCAGCACTGCAGGAACTGCGGGTTTGGTGACGTGCCAGCTAATAGCGAGTGAATACTCACGGCAAGCACATGATAAGATTAGGTCGGACGCTACAGTCATCGTTCGTTCAACCTAACCCGCAGTCCCCGCACAAGCGATAAATATTCTGGTTTGTAAGTGCACGTACCTTTCTTTATTTTTAGTGTCACCACATCGTTGGCCAGCCTCAGGCATTTGAGTACTGCGAGAAAGAAGGAAAAGGAGGGTTCAGATTAGGCAAATAAAAACAGGGCCCGACAGCTTTCGTAATCGCAGTCAATAAAAAAATCGCGAGGTCCCTAGCGCATTCCCTCCAGACGACCCGAATACAAAAGTCCTCTCTTTTTTCTCAGCAAATGTATTGATCCTACCTCGCAATCTACAGAAATCTTTCCGCACCAAACGTCGTTCGGAACTGCCTCCAATATCTGAGGCGTTGCACTATATATCTGCACTTTAATGCTTTTACATAGCCTCCGTGATCAGCACACCTATGAAGCGACGGCACCTAGTAATGACGTCATGTGGCGTCACAAATCTCCGCATTTCAAGACGTCATGGTGACGTCATAGGGTGACATAACAGGATGATTTTTTTTCGATCTCTCGCGCTGGCACCGACGCTGGACGACGGTGAATATTCGCCTTTGAAGAGACATCTATAGGGCATTGACCTTAATTATCACAGTTTCGCCATAATTACGAAGCAGTGAGTGCGATAGAAACATATTAGAATGTTATAGGCAGCAAGATTTGCAGCGCACTCCTTATCTAAAGATCTAAAGCATGAGGATGCTATCGCATTTTTTATTACTTTTGAGTGACTAGATGCAAAATTTAGCAGTGTTCTTTTGGCTCGTGGACTATACCGCCAACACACGTGATCTGCCGTGATCTGCTTTCAGGACCAGCTAAGCAGGCTCAGGGCAGCTGGGTATCCCAGCCATTTGCTGAACACTATTTGCAAAAAACTCATCCCAGTGATAAAAGGTACGGAAAGAAGTCCCAGAAGAGTACAAAGTGAAAAAAGAAAGCTTGCAGTTCTCCCATATGTTCATAGGTTGTCCCATGGCTTGTAGAACGTAGCAGCGAGATACGGAGTAACCTCGGTTTTTACAGCACCCAACAAGCTGTCAAAGTTGTGTCCACGACTTCGGAACATGGTGGAGTCCGGCACTACGCAGAATAAGAACAGCTGCCAGATGAAACACAGCCAACAATACCGGTCTTGCAGAACAGCAGTGGTATACCAGGTTCCGTTCAGCTGTGGCAGATCTTATGTCGGGCAAACTGGAAGGTGTGTAAACACACGGTTGAGGGAGCATGACTCGGCATTACGTAGTTCAGGACGAACACATCTGGTGGACCACTGCAAGTCTTGTGGGTGCGTACCAATTTTTACAGACACAAAGATTCTGTCAACTCACAAGAGAAAAATTAACAGGGAGTTGATTGAAGCATTCCATATTAGAAACATGGGAGAAAAATGTGTCGGCCAAGCTAACGTCACCATGTCCGATAAAGAATTTGACTTTTTGAAAGGCACGTGCAACAATCCGTCTGCAGATGCGTGAACTCTTCAATTTTTGTTGTTTTGTGGTTCTTATCATGACGTAGCGCTGAATAAGCTTTCTTTAGGTTATCTCGTTTGTTCCTGGATCCACCAATGGGGGGGGGGGGGGCGTGAGGGCTACGTGAAGATATAAGTACAGTTCGTTGTTCAAAATAAACCAGTTGTGAGTTTGCGCCCGTGTTGTTTGCCTCTTTTCCTTGTGTCTTTCTGGATTACTTTTCTTTCTTGTGTTTTCATATATATATATATATATATATATATATATATATATATATATATATATATATATATATATATATATATATATATATATATACGGTGAGTGACGGCGACTCCGGCCGCAAAATCCAGCTGAGTGTGCCCATATAACTGCTATCGCAATAAAACAGCGGCCGTGCGTACATGAAAACTTATGCAGCGATAGTGCGGGAAAACAAGCCACACAATTTCAGCTGCCGAGGCTCGCTTCTGTTACAAAGACAGGCGATATTGGACTCCTAACCTTTTTCATGGCGGCATCGAGGGCCTTTTGTTACGACCCGTCTTATCAGTCTTAATAACTGCTACATTTCCAGAGATACGTATTGGATGCTTCTGGACGCTTCGAGTTTCCCGAGAACTCGCCAAGTCGTTCGCGCTGTTGCACGCTATTTGTGCGCTGCTATGAGCCATTTAGGGTAATTTTGAAGATCATTTATGCTGCGGTCTTCGAACTACTGAAGCCATCGAAAGGTTGCAACTACTTATGCTCTAAGAATTCTTCCTTTTATTCTTCCAGTACGTTTTGGTTGGTGTTCTGCTATAGAAAACTAGCCACATGAATACGCGCAGCGGGTGCTCTGGAGCACCTGCTGCGCTTACTCAGTGGCTGTGATGCAATGCTCGCTGAGCGACGGTTTCTACCTCTACATGGCTGGATGCAGCTCCGGCTCGAATGGAGGCAACATTGCACAAGCGCTCTTGTGATGAGCTTTAGGTGCACGCCGAAGAACTCCAGGATGGCCTAAATAACGCTCCGTTATCACATATTTTAAATCAATCAATCAATCAATCAATACAATTTCGAGAAACGGCACGAAATGCAGCTTCAACGTCTCGAATGTGAACAAGCCACTACCACTGCCCAGCAAAATGCCTAACACGGACATGCACGTTGACGAAATTGAAGCATGCCTACCTATCGGCCGGGGATATATTACCGACCACAGCAACGCAGACGCCAATACTCAGCTTTCAGGAAACTGCACTTTCATATACACTCGTCATAACAGCCTACACACCTGCTCAAGCTTACAACTTCAGAGGCATAGAACAGGACAGTCCAGAGGACGCGGGAGGAGTACCTTTTAATGTTCACAGACGGTCAGCCGGGCTATACCATCCGCTCAACACCAACACCGGAGACTCAATACTCAGCTGCTTCTGAGTATGCATGGTGCAATTTGTATGTCGTACGCAAAAACAGTTCATGTATTTAAACTTGCGCGCATCACCTGTTCAATAGAAGGCTGACATTTACAAATGGTATTGAGAAAGGGCAAACGAACGTTCGGGAAAATGTTGCTATAGTTACAACGCATTGGGCAAAACCACAAAGCCTACACCAAGTTAAACAGCGCATGCGCGTCGACGAGTCCCGACAACTCATTGGTGGCAAATCGACAATCCGACTTGGTCCAATTAATTTTTTTCAATTCGTTTAATGTCGCAAGAGCTATGAATTATGTAATCGTTTGCGCGCGAAAAATAACGCAGGGCATCGCGTTAGCAGAGACTCAGAACCCAACGACGGCCGTCCCATCTGCGCTGAAAGATACGCAGCACATGCATCCGGACTTCATAGCAGGCGAGCCATCATCACACCCGACAGAGCGATTGAGGGCGACAGGAGTTAACATACGCGACAATCAAAAGATGAAACTCGTTATAGATGGCTTAATAAAGCGATCTGCAAGAACTTTATGATTAAACAGTACACCGTCAGCGCTTATACACAAGCGCGCTTTTTACCGTCCAATATAACGAGCCAAAGTAACGTTGTTACAAGGTGGTTCCTATAACTGCTAGCTATATGACAAATACTATTGAGGGCCAAACAGGCTCGAGATCAACCACACTTGGCCGAGACGGGATGCGTATCGATCTCGCATAGTGGACGACAAAACGGGCTGCACCTGTTTTCACAAGCAGGTGGTGTTGTGTGTATGGCCTCTATTTGCTATTTTCATCTACTTTATCTCACTCTCTCCCATATCAACCAAGCGAAGCTGATGATATCGGAATAGGCGGACTGAGCGGTCACGCTCCTCCAAAAAGAGCACATCGAACACGCGGAAAGGAGTCGACCGATAAGGTATAATAACAAAAGTAGAAGAAAAAAATTTCGCGCGATTCGCACGCGTAAATATCAATGCAAAGGAACAGGCCCCGAACCGCAACGGACACAGGCGCAGCGGCACCGAAGGGTTGAGGACGAAGCAGGTTTAAGGAGAGAGCGCGCAGGAGCCCCTCGCACGCGAATGCTGCGAACGGTTGGGGTTACGGGGGCAAAGTACTGCCACGTCGCCTCGATCACCGGTCGCTTCAACATCTGTAACCTCTCGCGACGACCCTGCCCGGCAGCATACACCGCAGCTTGCGGAGGTCTAAACATGGAGACGGCGCCGATGGCTCACTAATTCATCCGACAGGAGCGCGTTCAGACCGCTGATCCCGTGTTGATGGGAGAGGATGTTCACTCGTAAATCTACGGGCAGAATTTCGCTGCGCGTTCAGAACACTACCGAACTGGACTGCGCATTCACATCTCTCGCGCGGTCGGTAAACTGAAATCACATCTATAAACATTCCATATATATATCCTTGATGACAACGCTCCCGTTGTGCCATAGCCCAAACCTTCACGAAGACTAACTGGCCCATTGAATTATTACTCCCATATATATATATATATATATATATATATATATATATATATATATATATATATATATATATATATATATATATATATATATATATATATATATATATATATCGCTGTGCCATTAGTCACGGCAGGATATGTGTCCAAACGATGACATACAAAATAAAAAAGAAGCATTAAGGCATATAGTGACAGAATACACAAAAGTGCGGACGTCACATCTGCACTTCCAATTGATCGAGCGCCTGAGAGTCACTGCACCTGCAATCAATAGTGAAATTACCTACGTACAGCAATCAAAATTTTGGAAAGGCCATGCACTTATTATCCTTGTACGATAGTTCACCTGATGTGATATGTGATAAGTGGGGTTTAACGTCCCAAGCCCACGATATGATTACGAGAGACGACGTAGTGGAGGGAGCCGGAATTTTCGACCACCTGTTTTTTTTTTAACATGCACCCAAATCTGAACACACGGGCCTACAGCATTTTCTCCTCTATCGGAAGTGCAGGCCCGTGTACTCAGATTTGGGTGCACGTTAAAGAACCCCAGGTGGTCAAAATTTCCGGAGTCCTCCACTACGGCGTCTCTCATAATCATATCGTGGGTTTGGAACGTTAAACCACAAAAATCAATCAATCTATCGGAAATGCAGCTGCCGCAGCCAGGATTCGATCCCGCCACCTGCGGGTCAGCAGCC